TGACCTCCCTTTCTGAGACTGACCCTGGAAATGTTATGACCAGAAAGTTAAGAGCCAAGCAGCAAAGGATCCATGATCTTGATTGATCTCGATTAGAGAAAAAAAATTGGGATCTTTTTTTAAACAGTCTATTCTATGTCACATGAAAAGAATCAAAATAATGACCTGGTATTAGCCCCCGTAAGGTAACCAAGTGTCTTAGAATCATGAACCTCCTGAGAACTTAGGACCGAACACCAACCTAGGACATTTTGGCGTTGAAAATGGTCTCAAACTACTTACATTGCCTTTTCCTGTGAGTTTTAACAGTGAAGTGGGTCCTTCCCTTATTTCTAAACACTTGGCTTTCTTGTATTAGCATCAAGGTGAGCAGAAGTGCCTAAAATCACAGCATCATTTCTCATTGCTCAGAGGGGGAGCTCATTAATGTCCAATTGGGTTTAATACTGGAATTGTTTTTGCATTTAAAACTATCTTTTGTAATCTCAATGTAAGACCAGAAAGCTGTGCCTTGCTTAGAGTACAGTATTTCCATCTTAGAAGGGAGGGAGGCCCTATACCTAGGGCGACCGTATAATTTAGCATCCCTACCAGGTCACTTTTGAGAGTGAAAGAGAACTTTGCTCATAACTGCATCAGAATAACAGACAAACTCTGAGGTCTCTCTCAGGCAAACCCTGCTATACAACAAGCTGTAGAGATCACCCATGATCCAATACATCTTGCCACAAAGACTTGCAGATCAGTGATTTCCTGTTATATTTTTAAATTTGTATTGACTTATCTATTCATTTTGTACTGGGCTAGGTCTTAGGTACTGCACTCGGGCTTTCTCTAGTTGCAGTGAGCGGCGGCTGCTGTTCGTCATGTTACAGGGGCTTAGTTGTCCTGGGGCATGTGGAATTTTTCTGAACCAGGGATTGAACCCATGTCCCCTGCATTGGAAGGCGAACTCTTAACCACTGGACCACAAGAGAAGCCCGCAGATAGTGATTTTTAAGAAACTTCTACTTTTCCATAAGTTTTTCCTACCTGCCATTTTAATTGCTGCAGACTCTGTTCTCTGTCGTATTCATGATTCCAGATGATAACCAGGAACTGTTTTACCTGTGCAACAATTGAGTATGATAATGGCAGGAGGATGCCATGGGGTGGGGAGTGAAGAGAGACAGAGGATGAGGAAGTGAAGGCAGTGACTTTGCAGAAAGTCAAGCGTCTCAGTAAAACACCTGACAAGACCGTCTGCTGAGAGGACTTGAGCATCGAGAGAGTTCCCAGGGAGGGGCCAGAGTTCGGGATGTGTTCCGGGGTCATCCCATTTGCACTTTCAGGATGAGATCTAAATATTTAACCTTCAGCTGGAAGAGGGCAGTATTCAGCACCCTGTACCCAAGGAAACAAAGCCAAGAGCACTCATACGTGAAAATCTTTGTTTCAGAGATAAAGACAAGGCCAATTAATGTGGTGGGTCAAAAGGGCTCTCACTTTATTTCTACAGCTGTTTTCTTCCCCGGGTGACTCAGCTTGGCAGTAGCTTGCCCACAACTCGAAGAAATGACTCACACACCTTCACTAGCAAGATGCCAGGGACTGCAAGGCTCCCAGCTGCCTGCCAGCGGAGCCATGTTGTTGGCTGTCCAGGTCATACTCAGGGGTTAAACTCACGGGGAAGGATATTTAGGTTCTTTCTTTCCCAGTCCCGTGTACAGTCACACGGGGTGTTACTGTGTGTTCTCGTTCCGCATGATTCAGGCTTCCTCCTCACCCAGTTCATGGTGGCACACCCACCATGTGCCTAGCGTGGAGTTCGCAGGTGACTCAACGTCTCTGTCCACAGAGAACACCCAGTCTCTGGGTTCTTGTATTCCCGCCTGCTGAGTCATGTTGGTGCCATTTTGGGGTATTTGGCTTTGAAATAGTAGCGTTCAGGCTGTCTTAGCCCTGTCTCTGTTTAGGGGTGGGAGGTATAAGGGTCGTTCCTGTCCCCCACAGTTTGCTATTCAAAGATGGGCCTGTGGTACTCATCTCTCTAAGGCCAGGGTGGTAGTGGTAGCGGTAGTCGCTCAGTCGTATCCGACTCTGTGACCCCACAGACTGTAGCCTGCCAGGATCCTCTGTCCTTGGGATTCTCCAGGAAAGAATTCTGAAGTGGGTGGCCATGCCCTCCTCCAGGAGATCTGCCTAACCCAGAGATCAAACCTGGGTTTCCTACATTGCAGGCAGATTCTTTACAATTGAGCTACAGGGAAGTCCTAAGGCCAGAGTGGTGGTTTGGTTTAGTTACTAAGTCATGTCTGACTCTTTGCAACGCCGTGGACTGTGACCTGCCAGGCTCCTCTGTCCAGGGATTCTCCAGGCAAGAATACTGGAGTGGGTTGCTATGTAGTGTCTCATATTTCATTGTGTCTTAAAATTGCAGCAAGATTAGAGACCTCAATCTTGTTACTGGTGCTAATCCCTTAAGGATTAGATATGTAGAACCACATTAAAATCTTGCTAGTTTTAAAAAACAGATTGCTGTAGCTCTTAATATCAGGTTGGCTGAAAAGTTTGATCAAGTTTTTCCATAAGCTGTTATAGAAAAACCCAAAAGAACTTTCTGGCCAGCCCAGTAAACGCACCCAGGATGCGGTTCCCAGACACTGAGGAACTGAGAGTGTTTGGTAACTGACATCAGGTGGAGATCTTGGGAGAACCCAGTGTCTACCCAAATGCTGATCCTGGAGCTGGGCAGACACCATGTCTTTGCCTTTCCCTTGCCTGGGAGAGACAGCAGCCCTGCACAAACACCCAGCAGCTTGTCCAGGATTACGCAGGCCTGGACTTTTATCCACATCAGAAGTGCTTGGATTGAATTAAGTTGCAGCTCCTAAAGCGCCTACACAATTAGTTGTAACTGCTCTTCAGAACCCGCCTGCTGATGCAGGAGACTTTGGTTTGATTCCTGGGCCAGGAAGATCCCCTGGAGAAGGAAATGGCAACCCACTCCAGTATTCTTGCCTGGGAAATGCCATGGACAGTGAAGCCTGGCAGGCTACAATCTATGGGGTCATAAAACAGTCGGACACAACTGAGCGACTAAACAACAATATTTCATTTAGCATAATGTCCTCAAGGTTTGTCCTTGTCGCAACATGTATCATGATTTCCTTACGTTTTAAGACTGAATAATATTCCACCAAATACATGTACAACGTCTGGTTTATTCATTCATCTGTTGATGGACACTTTTGTTGCTTCCACCTTTTGGCTGTTGTGAATAAAGCTGTCATGAACATGGGTGTCCTTAAATGATATTTTAAAAAAGAATTAACACTATACTGTGGTCTAAGCCCTTTACCTATATCATCTTACTTAATCCTGACTTCACCAGCTTCTCAAGGGGACACCAGCTGGTATCATCCCTCCCGGGCACACTGGGCCCAAGTGCCCTCTCCATTCAGAAGTCTCCTCTGTGTTTCTGAATGGGTCTGCCTCCCTTGACACCTGTCCCTACGTCACCAAGAACATTTTACCCTAATCCCACAGAACATCTTGGCTGTCCCTCTGGACTGAAGTTTGTCTTTCCTTCTCCCCGCTGGCAAGGCGATCCTGTAAATAACATCCACTCGGTACTTTTCTCAACACCATGAATCATTGTACACGTGGGTATAGCGTCCTGTTTTGTAGCCTAAGACACTGATCCCTAAGAGTATTGCTCTTGCTTTTGTTTTCATCTGTGTGCGAACCGAGGTGCTCATGCACACCTTGAATATATGTTTTGATTTCAGTGAGTATGGGATGGGTTTCTCATCACCCACCCTTGAAGGAGCATTGCACATGCATTTGGTAAATGGTCCCTTCCTTCATGGGTGCTACTTATGCTGTGTTTCCTCATACTGAGGGGCCTCTGGGAGCTTCTCTTGTTGTTCAGTGGCTAAGCCATGTTCGACTCTTTGTGGCCCCGTGAACTGCAGCATGCCAGGCTTCCCTGTCCTTCACTATCTTCCTGGAGTTTGCTCAAACTCATGTCCATTGAGTTTATGATGCCATCCAACCACCTCATCCTCTGTCTCCCCCTTCTCCTCTTGCTCTCCATCTTTCCCAGCATCAGGGTCTTTGCCAATGAGTCAGCTCTTTGCATCAGGTATGCGAAGTATTAGAGCTTCAGCTTCAGCATCAGTCCTTCCAATGAATATTCAGGGCTGATTTCCTCTAGGATTGACTGGTTTGATCTCCTTGTTGTCCAAGGGACTCTCAAGAGTCTCCTCCAGCACCCAGTTCAAAAACATCAATTCTTTGGCACTCAGCCTTCTCTGCAGGTAGCCAAAGAGAAGTCTTTGGCTTCTCTCTCTACACACACACCCAAAATACCTGCCGTCCCTCAGCATCCTCAGGGAACTGGTTCCGGGACCCTCTTGGACACCAAAATCCACGGATGCTCAAGCTCCTTATATAAAATGGCATAGTATTTGCATAAAACCTAGGCACATCCTCCTGTGTACTTTAAAATAGTGGTTCCCAACCTTTTTGTCACCAGGGACCGGTTTTGTGGAAGACAGTTTTTCCATGGGCCAAGGTGGGGGATGGTTTGGAGATGATTCAAGCGCTTTACGTTTATTGTGCACTTTATTTCTATTATTATTACATCAGCTCCACCTCAGATCATCAGACATTCGATCCCAGAGATTGGAAACCCCTGCTTTTAAAACATCTCTAGGTTACTTATAATACCCGATAATACCATGTAAATACTATGTAAATAGTTGTTATGTATGACCAAGTTAAGTTTTGCTTTTTAGAACTCTCTGGGACTTTTTCCCAAATATTTTTGATCTGTGTTTGGTTGAATCTGCAGGTGTAGAACCCACAAATACAGAGGATGGGCTGTATACTTACATTTCTGTCTGTCTCTCTCTCTTAATGCCTTGGCATCCACTTAAGTAACCCTCCCAGCTCACATTTTCTCCAAACTGTGTTGCATCTGAAATGACCAAGTCCTCTTACCTCTCTGTCCACAGGCTGCACCTGGGAATTTGGAGCCATGGTAAACTACATCAAGAAGACATACCCCCTGACCCAGCTGGTGGTCGTGGGCTTCAGCTTGGGCGGTAACATCGTGTGTAAATACTTGGGGGAGACCCAGGCCAACCAAGAAAAGGTTCTATGCTGCGTCAGCGTGTGTCAGGGCTACAGCGCACTGAGGTGAGTGATCCTGGCCGTGTGCCCCCACTTCCTCCTGCCACTAGTCCTCCAGTTAGCGTTCGTTTATTGAGATGTCCCCAGCACACCAGACACTGGCCCGTGAAGACCTGGGGAAATGCTGGGGCCGACTAAGCAGAAGTTTCTGGGTCTTGATTCCACCTTGCTTTGCTTCCACATCATATACTGGAGTGGTCCTTTCAGACCCCTTCAACCTGGGATATGCAGCTGTATTTTGGGGGTCAGATCTGTAATGAAGTAAGCCAAAGCCCACCCCTTTAATAGCTGCTGTTTCCCTTTGGAGTCTCTGAGATGACTTACGTTCTTCATGCTCCAGGAGTTTTATAGAACTGTGGGTTTATGAAAACACAGGAGACTTGGCAAACCAGGGTCTGAGAGCTGGATCACCTTATGACCCCAACCCCTCCTACCTGCCAAAGAGTTGGGTCTCGGATGGCGTCTGGAAGGGATCTGTAGAAACCGTTTAATCCGTGCCCTCACTGTCAAATAGTCATCTCTCTCAGCATCCCAGGATCACACATAACAGATGACCTTCTGGGTAGAGGTTTACCTCTCCCCTTAGTCTCCTGAACAGAAACCCGCAGGGTGCATCCTAGGAGGGCACTGTTGTCTGCTTTGACCTCCCCACCCAGATCAGTGTTGTCCTCGATCACTCCAGAGTCACCATGCACACACATTCACACATACACACACACCCCCATACACATACACACATACACACTCATACACATTCATGTACACATACCCATACACATACACACTCACAAACATACACATTCATATATACACACCCATACACATACACACATATAAACCCATACACATACACACTCACACACATACACATTCATATACACACACATCTCTCTGGACTCTTTAAATGCATTCATATTTTTTTCCCGTCCTCACGCCTCATGATAATGTCTTTTGTATTATAAATGGGTAATGCAGAAATCTAAAATCACACACACAAAAATAAACAACAAACTCCCTGCCCTGATTGATCCAGTCTAATACCACAGACCTTGTAAATAATCCTTACTTTTTGCCTCACCTGTATCTCTCGGTGTAGTTTAAACCTATTTTGTCATTTTCTAATGGATAAGGGGCTATCTTATTTCTGAAAATATCTATTACTGGGATTTGAAATCAACACATCCAAAGGGCAAATGCAGGCTCAGAATTCAGCCTCTGCCCGAGCCTTAAAGCTGGGCCAAAATGGAGAATTTAAATGTACCCCAAAATAGACAGGAAACACTTCCCTGCTGGAACCTTTCCTGAGGTCCAGGGCTGAGGCCTGGGTCCCAGTGGTCCTCACTTGCAGTATGGGGGTGACAATAATTGGTACCTACCCCGTGGCGCCATGGTGGAGTCAAATGTGTTCATGAGAATGAACTACTGGGAACGGTGCCAGGCACGTAGAAAGTTGTCAGTAACTACCAATTATCATCATTATGCATTGTAAAACGAGAAGTAGGCTACATCAGTGGATCACAAAGACTAATCTAGAGAACTAGTGACTGCCACAGTTTGTTAAGAATCACTTGGAGGATCATGATAAAAATAAATTCATTTTCTCGGGCTCCAGCCCTGGAGATCCTGATTCGTGAGTCTGGGGCATGGGGCCAGAATCTGCTTGTGGACACATTTCACGGGCGACTCCTGAGGTGTTAGCCACCTTTAGCAGTCACTGGGCCCAGGGGCCTCAGTGGTCTCTCCAGCCCTAGTGTTGCAGGCTAGGTTAGTCTCCTCATCCTCCTGTTGGGAATCCTCCCTTTCAGTTCCCCTCGACACTCTGGTTTGAACCGGGACATGTTCCTTTGTGTTGACTTGGCTAGAAATACTCAACTCCCGATTCTCAGCCATGATGTAACCAGAATTACCCAAAGCCCCATCCTTGCCAGTAACTGGGATCTTAGAGCAATGAGCAGAGGGCCCGCCCCAGGATCCCGGGGAGACCCACTCTCGTCTGACCGTTTTTGGCCAGGCTTCTAGTGTCTGTAAAAATCAGAGTCCCTTCCTAAACCAAGCGCTGTCAAGTGACTAGAACACTGACTTTGTGTTCAGAGAGCACTGGATTTGACAGGAAGGAGAATGTAGGACAAGCTTGTTTTCCGTGTTTTTTAACGAGCAGAATCATAATTAACAGCCTCATTTCATTTGCTGCAACAGCGCCATCTGCTGTTGGCCACGCACAGGACGCGCACAATTGAGGATCCTGGGTACGGGTTTAAGCTAGGAAGCTAAATCTGCGAGGGGCTCCATGCACTTTGCAGACGTGGTCCACACCACTTCTCTTTGAGGCCTCAGAGATCTTCATGTTCATAATCGTTGTCACATCAGTTGTCTGCAAAGAGGAGAGAAACAGGCAACTTTATCCTTTGGAGCAAAGAGATCCAGGCTAAGATCCTACACCCTACACACAGGAAAACTGGACGCAGATCAAAGAGACACAGTCATCCTGTGTGTGCTGGGGCCACTCACGGCTCAGGTCCCCTCAACGTTTTAATGAGATCTACTCGCCAGGAGACAGTGCCTTACTTTCAACCAGCGTAACCTCTTTTTTCCTGCCAAGGCTTGAGGGCAGTGAGCCTTTTCAGCACTGGAATGATGGCAGCCTTGCTTCCTTTACACGGAGGTGGAGCGGGGAGGGCCCATCTGCCGCTGCAGGGGCCACACAGGAGTTCATGCTTCTGGTAAATCCCTCCCCTAGTTGAGTCTCCAGAACCGCTTGTCCGTGATCCATCCCCTCCCTCTGGCTTCTCATCCCGTAACGCACCTCCCCACCAGCCAGAGCCAGTTCTAGGCTCAGAAGCCAGCCCCGCTTGCTGTAGTTAGCAGAGTCTAGCCGCTGCGAAACTAGCTCATGCTTGATGAGGTGCTGAACCAGCAGAGGAGGGTGACAGATGTCCCCAGACTACACTGTATCCAGCAGACTTAACTCGTTCCCTCAGCACAAACAGCTGCCAACTAGCCCTGGAAGTGTGTGTGTTCAGACTCAGCCTAACTCTCTGGTTTAATAAATCACTTAACACTGTTAAGAAGACATGCTGCATGCTCTGTTGTTCAGTCATGTACGACTCTTTGCAACTCCATGGACTGTAGCCCGCCAGGTTCCTCTGTCCGTGGGATTTCCCAGACAAGGATACTGGAGTAGATTGCCATTTCCTTCTCCAGGGGATATTCCTGACCCCTGGATCGAACCCACGTCTCTTATGTCTCCTGCATTGGCAGGCAGATTCTTTACCACTGAGCCACCTGGGAAACCCCTGATTAGAAATTGGGGCATCTTGAAACGACTTTATTGATTGAGATAGGTAGATATATGGATGGGTAAAGCACTTCTTGCCTGAGCCATCTGATTCCCAGGCTGACATTCTCTTTATCCTCATGAGATGCACGCCCAGGAGCCTGCCCATCCCCCAGACCTCTTCAGCTGAAGAGGCCAGAATTCAGACCCATTCTTAACACCACCAGCTGGCCAGCTCTCCACTCACTACATGCACCCCTGTCTGCCTAATTTCACCCACTAGCAGAAGCAATGAAAACAACACCAAGGCTCCCAGGGCGACCTCTGTCAGGCCTGAGATGGAACTGCCTACATACCTCACCCATAGAACAATCTTGGTGTGAATGTTGCTTCTCTAATTCAACCTCCTAATTTGACAGATAAGGACACTGAGGCTTGGAGAGGTGAAGTGGCTTCCGCAGAGTTTGGTGAACTACCCAGTGGGGTCAGATGGGCCATAGCTCCAAGTCTCTGTGCTAATTCATGCCCACTGGGAAGCCTGGACGTCTTGTTAGACCTTCATCCCATCACCAGCCCCGTTCCCTGGAGCCTGGTTGTGCCTCCTCCCTTCTCTCACTGCAGAAACATGGCATGTAAATTGGAGCTTGGCTTCAGTGGGAGCTGAAGTTCCCAGTGAGGTTCTTGTTGGGCCGTGTGTACAGTAGTTCCAGACCACTGCTGATCTTTCCTCAACCCTAAGAAATAGTTGATGAGTTTCATGGTTAATGGTTAAAACTGACTTTAATCTTCAGCTCTCCTCCTCAGGGTAGATAATTTTCAGGAGATCATAATCCAAAAGATTTTCTATTTTCTGTCTTCTTCTCTTTCTCCTCCTTCTTCATTATTATGGAACATTTTAGGTACATACAAAATAAAAGCGATGGAGTACTGGACCCCCGTATATCCACTACCAGCTTCAAGCATGCTTAACTTTGGGCTACTCCTGTTTCCTCTGCACCTCTTCCACACATCACTCCCCTGTAAGCTGGATTATTCTAAAGCAAATCCCAGACATTATGTCATATCATTTGTAAATATTTCACTTGGTAGCACTAAAAAGACTCTAAGACCTTTTTATTTTTTTATTTTTAATTGGAGTATAATTGCTTTACAAAGTTGTGTTGGTTTCTGCCATACAACTAAACCTGAGTCAGTCATAAGTATACCTATGTCCCTTCCCTCTTGAACCTCCCTCCTACCACCCGTCTAGGTTGTCACAGAGCACCGGATTGAGCTCCCCAGCAGCTTCCCACTAGCTATCTGTTTTACATATGATAATGTATATGTTTCAGTGCTGCTCTCTCATTTCGTCCCACCCTCCTCTTCCCTGCTGTGTCCACAAGTCTGTTTCGTATGTCTGCATCTCTTATTTCTGTCCTGCAAATAGGTTCATCAGTACCATTTTTCTAGATTCCATATTTATGCATTAATGTACAATATTTGTTTTTCTCTTTAAGAACATTTTCTTAAACACAATCACAATATCATCTTCACACCAAAAGATTATTATTTCTGAATATTAATAGCATCCTGTTTGTAGTCAGTGTTCAGGTTTCTTTGATTGTCTCACAGAAGTTTTTTAACAGTTTCTTTCAATCAGAATCCCCATTATGTCCACACACTGCGTCTACTGATTTGTCTCTTCAGTTTCTTTTAGTTTATAGGTTCCCCTCTCTTTCATTTCTTCTCAGTTTGTTGTTGGTGCTGGTATTGAAGAAGTCAGATCTTTTTTTAAATAGATGAATGGGTTTTTTAAAATAATACATTGATCTCAATTATGCTTTATTAAACTAATATAAAATTAAGTTCAGTCCCTTAATTTTATACTCAAAGGTGATGAAAGGCATCCCTTAAATATACTGAATGATAAACCAAAGATGCAAGGAATCAGTTGGCCAGTGTTGACTGAGTGAAGCATTGGTCCCAGCATCCTTATCCCAGTCCCTCCTTGAGCCCCAGGCCCCCATGTGTCCCCAGAGCCTTTCAGTGAGTGGTATCTCGGGTTGGGATGCGATGGTTGGGTGGCATCACCAACTCAATGGACATGAGTTTGAGCAAGCGCCAGGAGTTAGTTATGGACAGGGAAGCCTGGCGTGCTGCAGTCCATGGGGTTGCAAAGAGTTGGACACAACTGAGCAACTGAACTGAACTGAACTGAACCTCTGGGGTTATTCAACTGAGAAACCCACAGAACTGGAGCATCTTCTCATAGGCCAGGTTTATGACCAGTGCCTCCTCGCTTCCCTTACGTCTTCTGTCCCTCTGACATGAAGGTGATACTGACAGAAGTAGCTGGAAGGTCAGCAAAGGGAGGACTGGATGTGGGCAAGACCATTTCTTTGTTTCTGGACCATCAGCTTTCTGAGGGAGGGGCTGTTTGGGTCCAATGCAGAGAAGAGGGACCCAGCCTGGCAGCAGGGTGCAATTCCCAGACTGGGTGACACCCTTCTGTGACACCCTCACAGACCAAGAAGCAGGTGCCCACAGCCCTGCCTTAGCTGGGGTCCTGCCTAAGGTGATCTGGCCCATCCTTTCTACTCATGACACCTCCAGCCCCCCATGGGTTTATAGAATGACCTTTTAACTTTTATTGAAGGCAATGTTAGTCTTCACTGTGTGCTTTAGCCCTTGTTTTATGAGCATATCACAGGCCATTAAACCCACCAACCCTTTCACTTTTAACTTCCCACTAGCTCTTATTTTTTAACTGTGATGTTATGGGAAATGCTTGCTATGCCATAACTGAAGTGTGACAGCTTTTGGGAAATAACTTTCATAACTCCCCAGTTTATATATATATGCATATATATATGTGTGTGTGTGTGTGTGTATATATATATATATATATATATATATATTTGAAAATGTTTTATTTGTATTTCTTTGATTATATTTTTCATTTTAATCAAAGCTTTTTTTGTAAATTGTTTTGGTCATGCCATTGCCAATATTTTTGCTTTTATTATTTAAATTTATTTATTTTTAATTGGAGGATAATTGCTTTTTGTTGGCTTCTGCCGTACATCAATATGATCCTTGTTTTTTGTTTTTGTTTTTTTAATACCTATGAACCATCCTTTCTCTCAGGAGTCCTCTCTCTGGCCATCTGGGAAATGAGACAATGTGGGCATAGTGACACCCAGATTCATTCCCAGGGCGGAATCAGGCCTTGAGACTCAGAAATCTGCAGAATGAAGGTTAGCAAGGACGCCATGGCAGCTGTGTTTGGGTTCACACCCGAGGGAAGAAAGCACAGAGTGGGGAGGGCTGAATGGCAGCCTGGGAGTCGCCACCTTGGTGTTTGTTCACCTGACATGTGGGCAGGGAAATCTGGCCGCAGAGGCGAACAGAGGAGGCTGGCCCTGCTGTCTCCTCCCGCCGCACAGGGTGGTGATCTGAGCACGGATGCTTGAGTCACGCCAGCCTGGGTCACACTCAGCCGTTCCTGACTGCTCTGCTGGGACCTCTCTGAGTCCCTGATCTCCTGATCTGGAAGTGGGGATATTACCTGTCTAGCGACCCCCCTGGAGAAGGAAATGGCAACCCACTCCAGTGTTCTTGCCTGGAGAATCCCAGGGACAGAGGAGCCTGGTAGGCTGCTGTCTATGGGGTTGCACAGAGTTGGACATGACTGAAGCGACTTAGCAGCAGCAGCGACCCCCCACCCCACATCAGAAGGCCTTGCTTTGCCAACCACACACTAGCTGTGCAGGCAGAAAAACTCAGGACCACCCCCACAGCCGTGCCTAGAGGGGGCAGAGGGCCTCGATACTTCTCCCTCCTTTCCTTGCCCCTTAAATGTTCTAAGACTAATCAAAAGAAAGCTCAACTTATATGATTTTCCTTTGCCTTGCAAATGGCAACAAAAGAAGTGTTTTATTTTTTTTCCCTCCCCATTTTTTAAAAATTGTGTTGAATGATTCTTTAAACTCTCTAGTGTTTTGCAATTTAAAAAGTTTCAAGTGCCATTTGCAGAGACATGGATGGACCTAGAGACTGTCATACAGACTGAAATAAGTCAGAAAGAGAAAAACAAATATCGGAGAATATCACCGATTCGTGGAAATCTAGGAAAGTGGTAGAGATGACCTTATTTGCAAAGCAGAAATAGAGATACAGATGTAGCGAATGAAACTTATAGACACCAAAAGAGGAAGGGGCAGTGGGAGGAACTGGAAGATTGGAACTGACACATATACACTACTATGTATAAAACAGATAACTAATGGGAACCTACTCTAATAGCACAGGAAACTCTACTCAATGCTCTTGTGGTGACCTAAATGTGAAGGAAATCTAAAACATTGGTGGGTGTGTGTGCACATATGGCTGATTCACTTTGTTGTAGGGCAGAAACTAACACATTGTAAAGCAACTATACTCAGTAAAAATTAATTTTAAAAGTTTCACACACATGATTCCATATAATCCCATAATAACACTTCCACCCATATTGCCCGCTCCCCTTCCCTCTCCCCACCGATAACCACTAGTTTATTTGGGAGTCGGCTTCTTTTTAGTTTTATTCGCTAGTTGTTGTATTTTTTATACATTCCACACAAAAGTGATAAAATGAAGTGTTTTTAGGTTTTGCCACGCACTTATCTTCTCCACACACTCGTCCCTACACATGGTCCTGTTATGAAGCCAGAAAAACTTGCTTGCAGGGTAGAAAGCCAAGGAGAGATACTGTTCGAATGACAATCAAAGCAGGTCCTGTGACAAAGACCTAGAGATGGAAGAGGGGGTCAGGAGTGTCTCTGGCAAAGCCCGTGGCCCCAGAGACCTTTCGGGCTGGGGCCTCTCGTTGAGCAACTTCAACGTTCATTCACTTAGTGTTCGGGTGGCTCTGCCCTTAGTCTGAGGACCACGTGTTCGAGCCCAGGTTCCCACCAAGGGAGCCAGCCCCTCCAGTGGCAGGAGCTCTGCCTCCTCCCCGCGCCAGCCCCAGCCTCTCCGCTCCAGGACGCCCCACTCCTCCCCTTCTCACTCTTCCCTTGTGGACCTTCCAGGGCCCAGGAGACCTTCATGCAGTGGGACCAGTGCCGGCGCTTCTACAACTTCCTCATGGCCGACAACATGAAGAAGATCATTCTCTCGCACCGGTGAGGCGCCTTCCCTTCCCTCGGGAGACAGACTGTACCTTTGGTTTTTGGGGGGTTTTTTGGCTGCAGCAGGTCTTCACTGCAGCCTGGAGGATCTTTAGTTGCAGCATTTGGGATCTAGTTCCCTGAACAGGGAATCGAACCCCAGGCCCCCTGCATTGGGAACATGGAGTCTTAGCCACTAGACCACCAGGGAAGTCCCCAGACAGTGCCTTTCTGAGCTTATTTCACTGAACGCCAAAATTCCTCTTTCTCTAGGAAAAAAAAAAGGAGGCAGGGTTGGTGCAGATTCTCAGCTGACTGCTTTGTGACTTGGTTAGAAACAAATTCATCCCAAGCTGCCAAATTCACAAAATCGCTATCTGCTTCCATACTTTTCAAAAAATTCAAGAAGGAAGATAAACCATTTCCACACCATTCTTTCCCAAATGAGGGGCATCCTGGGGCTTCCCTGGTGGTCCAGTGGTTAAGACATCGAGCTTCCACATGCAGCCCAAAAACTTTTTTGAAGTTTTAATTTTAAAAAGGCAAAGTTCATTATTAAAAAAAAAAAAAAAATGAGGGCCATCCTGAGGGTGGCTTGTCACTGTGGAGGTATGTTTCTCTTCAGGAGATTTTTGTGCTTGGGGGGACCCAGAGTCGTTCTCTGCTGGCTCTTGGGGTTCTGATCAAGCAGCAGTGGACAGGAGTCCTACCACTGGTGCCAAGCGTGGTGTCCACACTCTCCACACCCTGCCTGCCCATCTCCTGCTCAGAATGCTTTGGTGGGTTAGCCCCTGGCAAGTGCTGAGAGCAGCGCCTGGCTGGCAGTAGCACTCAGGGAATATTCGTGATGATTTCACCACTGTGACTATCCTTAGCCATGTGGGGTCTCCCCCTTCCCCCACATGCCCCTCTCCCCCTCCAGCTGGAGCATGCCACTCAGAGACCCCCGTGCCCCCGGCTTCTCCTGACCCTCCTCCCATGACCTCTGCTTGTCCAGACCCAGCCCGCTTCTTTTAGGTCCATCTCTGGTCTCTGCCTCCGTGAAGCCGGCCCCTTCCCACCAGTTGTTTTTCTGCTGTTTCTCCCGCAGTGTGAATCCTGCACCCATGAACCACACTGGAAAGCATGGGAGGGCTCAGGCATGTTTCGACTCTCTCAGAGCCTGGTAGACAAATGGGCACTCAGAGTACCATTTTAGGGGGGTTCTGAGGCCATCCTAGGAAAAGCAGTCTGTCTGTGTGACCAGTTTCTTATTCTCTTTTTCTCAGCGGTTAAAAGAAAATGCTGCACTGTCCAGCCAACCAGATAGCCCAGATTGGGCTTCCTGTGGATGGGGTTCCCATGGCGCCTGGGCTGGGGTGGCGCTCACAGGCCCCTGGGTGGCCCGGCGGCCGGGTGCGTCCCCAGGCTGTGGTGCTGGGTGGGCGGAGACCCTCGGAGACTTACGTGCCCCAGGCTGGCCTTCCTGTCAGGCTCCGAGTCAGGTGTGGCTCGGCTGAGGTTTGGATGGATCCAGGGGTTTGCTGAGGACCCACACGGGGTGAAAGCAGGCCATCAGACCCCAAGTCCAAGGCCTCTGTCTGCCTTTCCACACCTCTGGGGTGGAAAGTAAGCTCCTCCCAGAGAACATTTGTTTTGCTGCCGGGCCCAGTCTTGGCGTTAATTAATAAGTCCAGAAAGGCCATCGTGTAATTCTTAACAAATTGGGAGAGTCCTTTGAATGTGCTCTCAGTGTTTTTAAACTTACCACAGAAAGTCAAACATCTCGAAGTTTTCAGGCCCCTTCATTAGAATTTTTGTTTTCCCCACCAGCATCATCTTTCCTTTCTTAAAATTTTTTTCTAGTTTTATCGGGACGCACTTTAAATTGGGAATTCTATCCTTTAAGTATATGATCTTCCTAATACTCTTTTGAAAAAGAAAAAAATTTTTTTTTTTTTTTTAAGAAATTGGTTCCTTTCCTTTGGAAGAGGTGGTGACTGGCTACCAGAACATTTAGTTTCTATAATGAATTTTTCCCACTGTGGGGCCACACCTCAAAACAAACTCAGTCAGTCTTCCTTTAGCTGTGTGAGTGACAGCTTTCACTGGGAATGGACATCTAAATGTGCTCACTATGACCTCTGTCTTTACGCTCATCCTCTCTAGAGTGATCATTTTCTTAACTAGAAACTAGAACCAACTTAGATTAGTCTTCCAGTATGTTACTGTTGTTCAATCGCTAAGTCATGTCATACTCTCTGCACCTCATGGACTGCAGCACGCCAGGCTCCTCTGTCCTCCACTTCAGCGTATACATTAGCTTTTTATGTAAAAAACAAACTGTGAGATGAATGTTTGATGGGGAAAATTTTTTAATATTTATTTTTGTTTACTTATTTGCCTGCACCGGGTCTTAGTTGTGGCATGCAGGATCTTCTCATTTTGGCCTGTGGGATCTAATTCCCTGACCAGGGATCGAATCTGGGCCCCTTCCACTGGGAGCGTGGAGTCTTAGCCACTGGACCACCAGGGAAGTCCCTACATTTGCTTTTTAGCTAACATATTGGAAAGTGGTTGATTTGCCCAAGTTAACCATTAACTTCCTTGGTAAGTGATGTGAAGCGTTCACAAAGGGACAGGGGTTCTGCCAAAGGGAGCGTGGTAACACCAGTGTAAAATTGGGGGACCCCCTCACCCCTGCCCTTGGTTGGCTGACAGCCTACCCCAGGCCACACAGCCCATCCTGAGATCTCTCTGCAGGGCCAATTTTGAAATAGTCATCTAGGCTGAAGCCTAGTCTTTAGTTTGTCTCGCTGCCCCTCGCAAGGAAAATAAGGTCTTGATATTCATTGTTCTCCAGGTCTTCAAAAGTCAACAAGCTCATCCTCTGGGACATTCCGATGGCTGAAGGGATTTATTTCTAAGTTATCCACATCCGCTTCACAGACTCTCCTGGCTTGCCTCTGGGCCGGGAAGCAGGCTCAGCTGTGGTTGTTTATCATGTACTTTAAAAAACTTTTTTTTTTCAGCTTTACGGAGGTATAAGTGACCAAACAGTAAGTTACTTCATTGTACAGCGTGCTGATGCTCATTCTGTTTGCTTTCCGTCTCCTCCTAGGCAAGCTCTTTTTGGAGACCATGTGAAGAAACCCCAGAGCCTGGAGGACACGGACTTGAGCCGCCTCTACACAGCCACATCTCTGATGCAGATTGACGACAACGTGATGAGGTGTGCCCACAGCCCGGGGCGGGGTGCCAGGCAGGAGGCAGTGGGCCAGCACTGCCCAGCACCAGGGGTTTCCTCTGCACACTTTGGTGTTAAGAGTTTTGTTTCTTTTTTTTTGTTAATGCCTACTGTTTAAAAACTGAAGATTTCAGGACTTCACTGATGGTCCAGTGGTTAATATTCTGGCTTTCACTGCAGGGGGCCCCTCAGGTTCTATTCCTATTCAGGGAACTAAGATCCCACATGCCATGCAGCATGGCCAAAAAGTTAAAAAAAAAAAAGGAAAGAAACCTGAAGATTTCACAGAGAAATCCAAATTTCTAATGTCTCTTAAAAAAATAGGAAGATGCTCTGACCACTCGTCCTTCACTCCTACCTTGCCCAACTGAACTTGAACAGCGGAGCTGGGGTGAGTGCACCCTAGTTGTCCGTAGTCCTCGTCTCTGGGATGGAGATCAGATGTCACATAAATGCATGTGGCTGTGGAGTAAAGGAGAAGGAAATACTTCCTGCAGCTGTACCTGCCCATGTCTCTATCCAAAGTAGAAAAACCGAAAGTAACCAAGAGAGCTGGGTGTTGCGAGAAAAATGAACAGAGCCTCTTCCTTTGGGGGCAGCTCCTCTCTGAGTGTCATACCAAACCCCACCCACCTCACTCAGGGACCCTTACCCTCTCCAGGCTCCTGAGGTCACCCCTTTGACAGTGTCCTCTTTCCTGGCACCAGAGGTTTCTGATTGAGGTTAGCCTCACCTGGAAAGGTAAAGCTGATCTCTGACCTCATCGTTCTCTTTTAAAAACATTATTCTTTTTGTTTAATAATCATTTGATGCCTTCAGATGTGGCCTAAAGTTCATCCAAATAGACAGATATTAATCTGAGGGCATGGGATCGGTACTTACCTTCCTTATGTGGTTTTAGTAGCCTTCTTACACCAAGTAACTTTGAAATATGCCATAAATATGCCCATGAAATATGCCCAGTTACTCAGAGGAAATGGAAATTGCTGGTATGTTCAACAGGAGAGAATGAATTATACCCACACTCACTTACCATGGGGCATGCAGCTTTACAGTGGTGCAGACACTGTACTGGGCTACCGTTGTGGCTCAGACAGTAAAGAATATGCCTGCAATGCGGGAGGCCGGGGTTTAATCCCTTGATTGGTAAGATCTCCTGGAGAAGAGAATGGCTACCCAGTCCAGTATTCTTGCCTAGAAAATCCCATCGACAGAGGAGCCTCACAGGCTACCGTCCATGGGATCACAAAGAAGTTGGACACGGCTGAGCAACTAACACTATCACTTTTCAGGCACTATACTGATGAAGAAAACAAAAATCACATAAATTTCATTCATCTTCTAAATTTTAAGTCCAAAGAGAGTGTTTAGGAAGAATTTGTTCTCTTTAGCTCCGTTTTACAGAGGAGAGGGCTTCCCCTGTGGCTCAGCTGGTACAGAATCCGCCTGCAATGCAGGAGACCTGGGTTCGATCCCTGGGTTGGGAAGATCCCCTGGAGAAGGGAAAGGCTACCCACTTCAGTATTCTGGCCTAGAGAACTCCATGGGCTCTACAGTCCATGAGGTTGAAAAGAGTCAGATACAACTAAGCGACTTTCACTTACAGAGGAGGAGCTCAGAGAGGTTAAGTGCTTTGTGTAAGGTCACATAGTCAATAAGTGACAGAGCCAGAATTTGAACCCAGATGCCATAGCTGGGTGTTCTTAACCCCTAACTCCGGTACCTGTGTATATTCTACTGATATAATGTGTTAGAGTGGGAACTGGCACAGTAATAGATCAACTCAGCATTCTAATCTTATTCCAAGTGTTGTTTTGTCTTTTTCTTTTGTGTGTGTGTGTGGGTGGGTGTGTTCCAGGAAGTTTCACGGCTACAACTCCCTGAAGGAATATTACGAGGAAGAAAGTTGCATGAGATACCTGCACAGGGTGAGTGGCCACAGCTCAGAGAGCAACATCTCAGAATTAGCATCACTCCACCCAGCTCCACCCAGTGTATAACAAGTCTCCCTCCTCAGCTTCCCTGGCGGAAGTTCAGCCAGCGTCTGGCTCCATCCACTCTAGTTGTTGACTTGAGTGTATTATCGAACAAAGCCCTGCCCCTCTGTGACCTCTGTGTAGTAACCGCAGAGCTGTTCCTAAGCACAGTCTGCTCCCCGGTCTGTGTGGAAGCCCTTTAAGTCACTGCCCCATCCATTTTTTTCAGAAGTCCTCCTTTGATAGTGTCATCCTGCCTGGTTCCTACTGGGGTTCCTCATAGGAAGCCCATGTAGATTTCTTACAATCCTAGACTCTTTTGGGTCATTGTGTCTTTCTTTCATTGGTTTGGTGCCCAGGACTGAACTCAAAATTCCTGCCCTGATCTGGCAAGCACAGAGCAAAACAGATATCTTTCTGTATCCAAATGGTAGAGGAGCATGTCTTTGGTTGAAGTGAATTGGTTTATATTAACGCAGTTGTCAGCAACGATGATGAATTTTGTATGGATTAAATCAAGCTTGTGGCCGATCATAACCACTATGCTTTTTTTAACCTGAACTACCACCAAACCAGTGTTTCCCCTTTCTGTCTTTGATCAACTGCTCTTTTTACTCAAACACAGGACTTCCCATTTATCCCTGTCAATGTCCACCTGTTAGTCTGGCCCACCACTCCTCCAGCTAAAGCAGATCATTGTGAACGGCAGCTCTGCCATCGTGTCGTGTCAGCCGCACCACATACTTTAGCATCATCATCTGGGCCTTTCATGTATTCATTTAAGGCATTACAGAAACGTGGAACTGTTCAAAGTCAATGTCAGGGGCCTCCAGGTACGGCAGCCAGTCATTATACTTCCTGGGCATGGCTGTTCAGTAATATCTGAGCGGCCCCATCAGCACCATCTCTGCTAAGAAGAAAAAGGACACTGCTGGCTGTTTTGCTAAAGTGGATGTTGAACGCACAGCTGCCAAGAGCCTCCCAAGATCTACCAGCCTGCTCCTGTTTTCCTTCCTCAGATGCTTCTAGAAAGGCTCCTTTGTCTGCAGTGAGGCAGACTCCTTTCTTTCTCCCCACAATATAAATTGGATGACCATGTACTCTGTACTCTGTACTCTGTAAAGTCGTTTTTCTGAAAGATATGGTTAATCTGAGACACTGTGAAGATGATCAGAAATATGTTGCCAGCGAGTATTGTAGTCTTGAGCCTTGCCCCATCAGAGCACGTGGGTCACCTCGGGCACCAAGCATGGCTCCTGTACGTGCCTGCCAGGGCGGCAATCCCAGCGGCCGCTGCTAGGGAGCACAGGGCATCCTTAGTCCATTAGTTCAGCAGACTGAGCACCGACCCGCTTCCCTTCGCTTCAGAAACATGTCCAGTAGTGTATTTCAGCCTTGGATCAATGGGATCTAAAAAAGAGAGTTGATCATTTAATCCTGCTTTTATTTCCTTGTTTCAGATTTACGTACCTCTCATGCTGGTGAATGCAGCCGATGACCCCTTAGTGCACGAAAGTCTTCTAACCATTCCAAAATCTCTTTCAGGTAAGTGTTTCTTCCCGCCGCTCTCTCAACCACTCAGCAAACTACCACAGTATGTCACCTTCACCACGCTGACATCTCCTGGATACCAGAGCATCTTATGGCAGTATTCTTATTTAGTCTAGCCTGATAGGCCTGGGGCTGTGGTAGAGCCTGGGTTGAGCCTTTCATGTTCTGTCCTGGTGCAAGAGACAGGATCGTCATTTATAACCACAACCAAGAGGTTTGGGGGAGTCCCCTGGTATTCTATGAAATTATTGCCTCAGGGATGTGACTCCATTAAGTCTGAGAGTTTGACTTAAAGAGATATTTAGACTTAAAACTTTGACCTGAAAAGAAAAAAAAAAAAAGCCAGTTCTGCTGCCTCTTGTGACAGACAGCCTCCCTGTCCGCTTTGAGGATAAAAATATAAGCCAATGAAAAAGCAGAGAAGGTCACTCATGGGAATACCATCGTGTTTCAGGCTGGCATGACCTCATGCCTTGCTAGGTAGGAGCTACAGAAAAAACTGGAAAGAGGGAAGCAGAGGAAATACTTGGGTCACAAACCACAGTTACTGTGCATTGTCATTCAGATCCCTCGGACCAGACCTCCCTGCCCCATCCTCTGTGATTATGTTTCCTCTTATAAACATCATGTGTTAACCAGAGGGAAAGGGGTACATCTGATTCTCTCATGACCCCAAGTTAAAGAGTAGATAATGCAGCAAGCAAAGGACCTATGTCCAGACAGAGCTCTATTCTCCACTCAGAGCGAATGCATGTGTCGCAGGTGCATTATGTGATAAAAGCTGTCGCCTGTCAACCGCCTGTCAAACCACAGGCTCCCTGCACAAAAACAGCCCTGTTGGCAGCGGCGAGAGGACACAGGCTTCCTTCTGCACATCTAAAGTAACACCCACAGCGCTCGCGCTGTTGTACAGAAACTGATGAAACAGCAGCCCAAAGGGAAGAATAAAGGGGGTCAGACAAGAAAAGAGCCCTGCAGAGCCAGAAATGCAGGTTCCGGGAAGCGCTTCAGAGGCCTGGAGCAGCCAGCAAGGGGCCCCTTGTCACTCGTCCCCCTGGGAAGACAGATGCTCTTTATGGTACCTGAATGCACCTGGCTACCCATTTTTGCACATGTCTTCAGTAGTGGCTTTACTAGCCCATGTGGGACTAGCTTAAACGTGGACTCATAAAGTCAAGCTCCAGGTTTGTAATTCTCAGATGGCCATTTATCACATGAGGTTGAGAGCTCGGGCAGCTTTTAATACAACTTGCGGCTTTATGTTTTAGTCTTACAAGATAAAGTTCTGTAGTGGAAAATCATTGGCTCCATTGAATTCATCTGGTTCTTTGGTCAATAAGAGTGTGTTAGGAATCTGTCCTCAATATCTGGGCCCCACCAGTAGCATCAGCATCACCTGGGAGCTTGTGAGAACCTCAGAGTCTCAGCTTCTTAAATCCAGGCCTGTTAAAGCCAAACCTGCATTTTAAGTCAATTTCCTGGGTGACTTGGGTTGGCCGAAAAGTTTGTTCAGATTTGTAAGATGGTGCAGAAAAACCCGAATGAATTTTTTGGCCACCCCGATACCTGGCTGTATGGTTGAGTCACCTGGGATTTTTAGCAACACCGATGCCTGGGTCCTCCCTGTTTCACCTGCCAACCCCCAGTTCCACCCCACCCCTGCCCTCACATCAGAATCTCACTGGTCTGGGTGTAACATAGGGACCTTTATTAAAAAAAAAAAAAAATTCAGGTGATTCTAATAGGCAGCCAAGTTTGAGAACCACTTAGAGTTCTAAGGATGTCCTAAATGGCAACGCACTCCAGTACTCTTGCCTGGAGAATCCCATGGACAGAGGAGCCTGCTGGAGTATGGTCCACGGGGTCACAAGAATTGGACACGACTGAGCAACTAAACCTAAGCCGGTACCCATTCTGCTCCAAAGCTAAGCTGCTATTCCCAAATCTGCTCGATTTCACCATCTTGTCTGCCCCCACCAAGTATACACCTGCCCCCACCACTGGTGAACAAGGCAGAGGGGATGGAGATAGATGCCCACTTGGGGGGGACACCTTCGCCCCTGGGGAAAGCCTGGGCTGCCCTGGCCAGCTTGCTCTCCCACCTCCAGCCCCGGAGCTGGTCAGAGGACAGTGATTCACTCAGCTGCCTTTCTCCTGCAGAGAAACGGGAGAACGTCATGTTTGTGCTGCCCCTGCACGGGGGCCATCTGGGCTTCTTTGAGGGCTCCGTGCTGTTCCCCGAGCCCCTGACGTGGATGGATAAGCTGGTGGTGGAGTACGCCAACGCCATTTGCCAGTGGGAACGTAACAAGTCGCAGTGCTCCGACACGGAGCTGGTGGAGGCCGACCTGGAGTGAGGCGCCCCCCACCACCCCGCCCCCCAGACTCTGGCGTGCTCCAGCCACCCTCCTCTGGAACTCTCGTCCCTCACCGGCTGTTTCAGGTCTCCCATCTCCCTCAGCGACCTGGATCTGACCTCACACCATCAACAGGGACCACCCATCAGGCACACACGCGACCTGAAGTGGGTGGCCGTCCCTGGGAGCTCCAGGCTATTTTTGTGCTTAGTTACTGGTTTTGTCCATTGCATTTGTTAGCCATGGTGACAAGCGACAGGGTTCTCACCCTGATGTCCGGTGTCATCATCGGATTGCTTTCAAGCCAATTACATCTAGTTTCCCTATTAAAAAGCGTGTCTGAACAGCAGTTTTGCTTTGCCAATCAAATTTTCCCCAAGAGCAGGGAAGGATGGATGTTATGCTGCGGCAACTGTATGTGTCCTGGACTTAGACCCTAAATAGAGCCAATGCTGTAGCTACAGTTCAGCCTGGGGGCCTGGGGCCCTGGGCCCCCACTGCCGAGAGTTTGGTCTCTTACATGATAAAATTCCCTTGAGTCAGAAGCCAGGTTTCTCCCTTGTGCATTCCTGATGATGAGAGTTACCTGGGACGCTTGTTACAAATTCAGCCTCCCACGTCCCTCCCCTTGGAGGTGTTTCTGTGGGGCTGGGAAGGGGCCTGGGATTTTAATTTTTGACAAGTGCCGCAGGTGATCCTTCTCACCAGGCAAATTCAAGAAACCCAGCGGTGTGGAGCCGCTAAATTAGAACCGTCTTGGTAGCTTATGGTATCTCGTAGCTCCCAGGAGCCTCCAAAGCAGCAATGCTTGTTGCGTGTACTTGCCCTGATGTGATAGCCATGAGCAGTTTCAGCAAGGGCCTGGGCTGGTGGTGGAGACTTCAGGCCTGCCTCTGCCTCTCACTGGCTATATGACCCTGGAAAAGTCCCTTTGAACTTTTCTTTCTTCACCTGTAAAATGCAGGGTGGCTGGACCAGGCAGATGGCTGAAATCACTACCAGTTCAAAAGTTCAATGACAAACTCAGTTTACTGAGGTTTGAGAGAACTCTCCAGGGGAGCCCAGGAGCTATTCTAAGCATGTCATCATTTGCCTTTTTTTTTTTTCTGTCCCTTGTTTCATATAAAGTGGTTTTTGTTTTTTTAAGTACTCATTTTTTTTAACCCAGTTTTCTCTAACTCTGGCTTTTGATACCAAATAGTTCAAAGGTTGGATATGAGTTTGGAGAAATCGCTTTTCAACTGAGAAATCATCAGGGCAGATGATTTTGGAAACTGGATTTTTAATTGAATAACTTATATCTGTAGCCCGTTGAATAGGTCTTTCCAGAGTGTGTCTTATATGAAAAGCCCACGCTGTGTTTCAAGTACTCCTTTCCTCCAATCCTGTGGTACTTGAATATCTAAAAACCCTGCACTTTGAAATAATCAGCAGTTGCTATCTGGAACTAAGCAGAATTATGAGTGAAATGACCTAGATACTTTAAAAAAAATTATTTTCCCCTCTGCTTCCTCTACTTTGCTCTAGGACAGACTGGAATATTAATAGTGGGTCTGTGTGCGGATGTTTAAGGGGTAAAGACAGTCATATGAGGGCCTGGGTGCGGACCCTCTGGGTCACAGGTGGTTGTAGTTTGGGCATTGGTCCGAGTCATGTGACAGTTATGTGTTGTTTTCTGACAATCACCAGATCATCCTAAATGGTAACATCAAAACTGCTGTTATCTGAAGAGCCTGAGGCTTCTCTGGTCTTGACTTGGCTTCGTTTTCTCTCTCTCTCACACACTCAAATTCATCATCATGACTTTCCCCCCAGGTTGTTATTTTTCAAGTGCATGTCTCATTCATGTTCTTTTAGCACAGATAGGCACTTTATTTTCTGCCCCTCAATTTGGAAGCTCGTCTCTTCCCTCTCTGTTACTTTTCCCTCCAACCTGCAACCACAGCTATAATCTAGAAGGTTCATAGTCATATTTCCTGCTCCTACCTTCCTGCCTCAAAACTTTTTGTGAAATCAGATAAATGAAGCAATAACCTAACGGGGCTGAATCACCGTCCCAGGAAGCAAGAGGCTCCTTTTCATTTGCCTTAGGACACATCCCTTGATCTGTTCCAACTATATAGCAGCCAGGTACCAGCTCCATTCAAGAAGAGAAAATAGCTCTGTTGTCACACACTTGTCAGGCAGGGACAGGAGTCCCTGGAGCCTGGTGTGCCCGGCAGTTCTGTTGACCCACAGAGAAGAGGCAGGGCTCAGAGCGTTCCCTTTGTCGCTGGACAACCGGATTTTACCCCACACGGCCGTGGGGGCCATGCACAGCTGAAGTCTTTTTAGCGTGTGATTCTGAATGGCACTTTTTGGCTCACATGAAATCAACTGAGGCCCTTTGTTTGAGCTTCAGGCTCTCATGCATGGAAATGAGAATGTAACTGTGGCCGTCTTTACAGGAAAATTCTTGTTAGTTCCTGAATGGGAGCACAGAGGCATTCAAGCCTAATAAACAAGGGAGCAGCACTTTATAGTCGGTCAGCTTTTTCCTCCCTCCCATTTGCCTGGCTTTTCTGTTCATTTATGATGATAATGTGGTGGCTTTTCTTGCTCCTGAGGTCCTCTTGGGGCTAACACAAGGCTGAATTTTCAGAGTGTTTGAATATTATATTTTAAAATCAGGTTAAGGACATAAATTGCAATGGCCTAGACAATTCTGTTGCTGGAAGAACATGTTAAAAAACCAAGCAGGCTTCTAGCAACATCTTTCCAAGTTTTTCTCCCTGCCTCTATAAACAGTTTTGAAGGCAGCGGTTAGTAACTGATCCCAGTCAGTTAGGATTGTGCATGTTCAGTCACTCAGTCCTGTCTGACTCTTTGCAACCCCATGGACTGTAGCCCACCAGGCTCCTCTGTCCACGGGATTTCCCAGGCAAGAATACTGGAGTGGGTTGCCATTTCCTCCTCCACAGGATCTTTCCGACCCAGGATCAAAACCCCATCTCCTGTGTCTCTTGCATTGGCAGGGAAGTCTCTACCACTGAGCCACCTGGGAAGCCCAAATTAAGATTATCTGACTTGAAAAATGGTCTCAAGTCTTCTTGATGCACTTATATCAGTAGGGAGTTTAACAGTCTTAAAGAAAACCTCTTACCTTCTCTGATGTGAGTCTGTACCAATGATTCCAGGGCAGAATGAAGACAGAAAGTTATTCGTTGTCACTGTATTCCTTGAACCTCCTGCAAGCATTTCCCACGTACCTTAGAATGGGAACATACCTGCCAGGGGAGCATCCTTTCCTGACTTGGTGTTAATGTAACCAGGGTCCTGGACACCTGGGTTCTTCTCCTGTCTCTAATTCACACTGGTCTGTGGGCAATCTCTTCCCCTCCCTAAGCCTCAGTTACCTCACCTTAGACCATCTGTAAGTCCAGTTCATCTGTTTACACGTCCTTTGCCAGAACATTCCCAACTGGCCTTCTACAGCCCTTGTAAGTGGACGCAGATAAGTCAAGGCTTCGGGCTTGTCGTGAGGGGTCTTGGAGAGAGCGTGAGCTCCTGCATTTAGCCTGTGCTGGTGAAGAACCTTGATTTTGCCCAAAGCCCCGTGTCCCTAACTGGCTTCTCTTCAGAGCCTCTATTGTTCTCTCAGTAGCCTTTCTGTGCCGAGGGCCGTCTCATGACAGGGACAGGTGCCGACCATTGGAACAAAGTGAATATCCTCGTCATTCTGTGAGATTCGGGCAAGCGTTGAACATTCCCAGGGCAGGAATCCTTCCTGCTCAGGCTTCCATTCTCAAACTGCAGTCTTCATTAGAGCTGAGATTTCTGGATAGTCGAGTTTGTCTGCCTGGCATCTGAATGAGAGCTCTCTTTGTCACTGTGTGGCTCGTGATCCATTTTGCCAGCGCCCGGGAAACAATACATGTGTTCTTGTTTGTGTTTGCCAGGCCAGCAGATGTCTGAGCTCTGAAGGGCTTTTCTTTTCCCCCATGGCACTGATTCTGACTTAGCGCTGAAGATCACTGAAACATCACCTTGTGTTCAAAGAACTCTGATCTTTATCCTCTGAAGCAGGACAGGAGAGTTATATTAAGCATTTTGCTGCAGCGTCCGCTCACAATATCAGCTAGAATCATTTTTCTTTGTCCAGAAAGCCTTAACTTGCCTCTAGAATATCCCCTGGTAGGATAATGCTATGTGGCTGCAGAATTGAAATTCTCCTGCTGTATTAGTCTGCAACAAAGCCACAGCAAAACCAGAGATGTTACATTAGGCATCTCCCACCCCTTGACAATTAAGAGCAGTCTGGAACTGGCCAAACACCTCCTCTCTGATGTCTTGCTTCCTTCTTGGCCTCACTCTGTAGTTCAAAGACTAGTATGGATTAGTTGGATGCTTCCAAAAGCCATGAAAAGCGGCCTGCATGTGGCATTTAGTGGCCAAGCAGTTGAGGGAAAGGTGTTCTCCCCACGTTATCAAAGCAGAGGAAGGTGTCCCCCACCCCACCCGGCCCCTGCCCCCGAGACTTCCCTGGTGGTCCACGTTAAGACTCCGCACTCCCAGTGCAAGGGGCAAGGTTCAGTCCCTGGTCGGGTAACTAAGATCCTGCATGCTGCAAGCGTGGCCAAAAAAATACAGAAGAAAATAGCCACCACCAACCCCCTTCATATACTAAGATTGCTTTTGCCAAATTGTATTTGAAGGGGAGCAGGCAGTGAGAACTGGAATGCTGTCCAAAACTAAAGCTGCTTCCTCGTGTGTGTGTCGCTGCTCCTGCTGCCTCGGCCGGCTGCTGTAGCCCAAGCACCCGCCCCGCCCCGCAAGTGGACCTTAAAGGCAGGCTGCCGAGCCCAGCTCAGCGGCGGTTCTCAGACCCCAGACAGTGGCCAGCTGCCCCCTCCTTCCCAACACATCATGTCTTCTGAACCATGTTTTTCCCAGCATGTATGTGGATAAAACGTTCATCTATCTCTAATGAGAACTTTTAGTAACGAAGCCTATAACCTGCCTTCCCTCCCTCCTGGTGTCCCCGTTAGCCAAGAAATCCATTGCTGTAAGTTAGGGACTGACCACCTATATAGCACCTGCAGAAATACCCTTCATTCCGTGGGGCATTCTCCTTCCAGGCCACCCACGTGCCGCAGCCAACAGTCGCCTAGCATGCCGGCTGTGCCCTCAGCCCCAGCACCAGCCGCCTCTCCCCGAGGCCGTTGGTGGGGGGTGGACTGAGTTCCCGGGCGGGCGGGCGTGGGAGTTAGGTTTCCTTTGGTTTTTGTTTTGGGCCTCTTTAGTCTTCCTAAAGCACAAGTCCTTGTAGACGCCTGTCCCCTCTTCTCCACACCAGTCTCAGACGATCTGGGTCTTGCCCACCGCCTCAGGAAGACCTTCACTGTACCTGAGCTTCTGGTTTCTGCCACTGCAGCTGCCTTAGTGACACCAGGGGCTGGGGGGGTGGGGGGGTCAGTTTGCATCTTCCCCCTTTCCTGGTTAGACTCCCATGAACCACTTCCTTTCTGTTGGCAAGATGTGCTTCCGGGTTGATTTTTGAGAACCATCACTTACACATTCCTAAATTTCTGTTTTGTTTGATTTCTGTTTCTTGGTTTGTTTTGTTGTTGTGGTTGTTTTTAATTTTCTGAAACTTCAAATGCTGCCCTGAAAATAATGTATTTTTGAGTTTGTGTTCTGAAGGCCTCTGTGCTGCTGGATTTGGGGGTGGGGGTGGGAACAGGATATAGGATCCTCCAGCACTGAGGTGTTTAAGATTTGCAACTAGCAATGCAATTTTTTCTAAATATAAGGATATTTACCTTTATTAAGAAATTATACTAAGCAATGGTGTCCTTGATCATTTTATGTTCTCATAAATTACTTTTGGTTCTGTTTTGACTCTCTGTGGTGGTAAACAAAGATCATTACAAACAAAAGCTGTAATTTTGTTATCTTTGATTCAATGGAATTTCTTTACTTAAAAAAAAAATAAAAGACTAAAAATGTGACCTGGCTGTGTAGTTATTTGTAGTGGAGATTTTCTATCTGTGAATAAAAGGATTCTTCTGGGACTTGCCTGGTGGGTCAGTGGACTAAGACTCAACCCCACCAAGGCAGGGGGCCCAGGTTCAGTCCCTGGTCAGGGAACTAGCTCCCACACGCTGCAACTAGAAGACCCTGCATGCTGCAACTAAGACCTGATGCAGCCTAGTTAATTAATTAAAATAAATATTTTTAAAATAAATAAAAGGATTCTTCCCGTGTCTTCACCAAAGCACGAGCTTGAAAGAAGTGGGAAAAACACCAAATGCTCATCACAATTAACTTTAACCCAGCCTTGCAAATACCAAAGAAATGACCAGCCCACAGGTGTCTTTACAAGCCCTTCCTCTCTGGGAAGACAGCCAAGGCCTGGGAAGAGTGATATAATCAGCATTTTAAACACTTGCTCTATAAAGTGAACCATGCAGACAGAATGTAAGAAAATATGTCAAAGTGGTAGTCGTCACACATGATTCACAAGCTTTTCTAATAGTGTTCTTCGAAAAGACCAGGTGAACACGATCTAAGTTAAGATTATATTGGGCTGGTTGAGTAACAGTGGTGTTTTCTTCTTTACATCTGTCTGAATCCAAGCTAAGGGTCTCCCAGGGCCAAGTGCTAGCACAGCCGGGAGAGTTGTGGTGGTCCATGCTCCCCCTCCCAAGGACCTTGCACTCAGTCTTCTTCCTTCCTTGGTCTTGCAAAACCTTTGACAAACTGAGTGGGGAGGGGAGAGTTGGTTTTCGGGGACATACATCAGCAAGATCTAAGAATGCTCATGGACAGAGGAGCCCGGCGGGCCACAGCCCATCCGACCCATGGGGTTGCACAGAGCTGGACACAGCTGAGCAAGTCATCAAGCTTCCCAGGAGAATCAGTTAGCAAGGAGGTTGCAAACCCCTGCCTTGGAAGCTCTGATTGGTTATGTGCAATGCCCTAAGGATCTTGCTAAAATGCAGACTATGATCCAACAGATCTGGGGTGGGGGAGCTAAGATTCTGCATCACTAGCTAGTTCCCAAGTGGAGCGGACACCCCCTCCTGGGACCACACTTTGAGCAGGAAGGCTCCCCAGTATCCTGTGAGCTTCCCCTCCCTGTACTGCTAAGCTTCCTCAACACCAGAGCCACACCCACAGTGGAAAGTATTATAAAAGGTGGTCTAATTCACCCTGAAGGTGACTCCTCAGCTTTCCCAGGTTAACTTAAGACCCAGGCATCCCTCTTCCAGGAAGACTTTGCCAGGACACCCAGCAGCATTAGCCTCCTGCAGCATCCCTTAGGTAAACTTGAGACAAGTGGCTAGCCTTGCTCAGAGATTCTTTGAAGTTGATGGCTGATTTCATTACTGAGACCTCCACCCACATCTTAACAAATGCTTCCATCTGCAAACAGTATTCCCCCAAAAGGCCACATGATGCATAACTGTGACCTCCCAATTTTGATGTTGTGCTGTGTTCAGCCATGTCCACCTCTTTACGACCCTGTGGACTGTATCCCGCCAGGCTCCTCTGTCCACTGGATGCTCCAGGCAAGAATACTGGAGTGGGTTGCCATTTCCTGAAACCGTAGTTTCCTGCGACTCCTGAACTGGCAGGCGGATTCTTTACCTACTGAGCCACCTGGGAAGCCCTCTCAAATTTTGCTCGGCTCAAATTAACTTTCACCTGCAGAATCCCTTCCTCATCCCAGATGTCTTCAGAAGGAAGGTGTTGTGAGCAGCAAATGGTTGTCATGAAAGTCATGTTTTGTTATCCCCTTTCCCATATTTGGTGGCTTTCAAGAGTATTTTATTGTCCCTCTAGTTTCTTTTATGAATGAGGGGGGTGGTAGTCACTTGTAGGAATCCAGCATATCTAGGCAGCTCAGATTTGGGGAAACTGAGCACATCAGATTTTAACATTAACATTCGTGGTCTTCAGGCACCTGCTGTCAAAGGCAGCACCATCTTCCTGGCAAGGTCTGGCTCAGCCTGCCCCTGACCAGGACTGCCATGGACGTCCACGGACACGGAGGAGCAGTATCAGGGCACGGCCAGCAGGGGGCGGGAGCAGCCCACAGTCAGAACCGACTTCCTCAGAAAACCCCTGGGGCTTTTCTGTCAAACCCTTCCTAAGCTAAGTCTCTAGCTCTGCTGACTTCAGCGGGGACCCCAGCATCCCATTTGGATTTGAGTAATAACCAAATGTATGGATGTGAGAACCAAGTGTCATGTATAGAGAGTTGCATCATAAAGAAAGCTGAGCACCAAAGAATTGATGCTTTTGAACTGTAGTGTTGGAGAAAACTCTTGAGAGTCCCTTGGACTGCAAAGAGATCCAACCAGTCCATCCTAAAGGAAGTCAGTCCTGAATATTCATTGGAAAGACTGATGCTGAAGCTGAAACTCGAATACATTGGCCACCTGATGTGAAGAACTGACTCATGTGAAAAGACCCTGATGCTGGGAAAGATTGAAGGCAAGAGGAGAAGGGGACGACAGAGGATGAGGTGGTTGGATGGCATCACCGACTTGATGGACGTGAGTTTGAATAAGCTCCGGGAGTTGGTGATGGACAGGGAAGGCTGGCATGCTGCAGTCCATGGGATCACATAGAGTTGGACACGACTGAGCTACTGAACTGAACTGAACTGAAGAACCAAAGCTGCCCCCAAGAAACTCTGCCTGCAGTGTTTTCCATATCCTGATCTCCTTCATAAATTAGAGTGGCCACAAATCAGAGGGTGGGGCGAGGAGGGCTTCTGGCAATAAGGGACCAGGGGAAAGATTAGAGTCATCCAAGAGGAATCAGCCAGGGTTTTCCTCAAATCTGGGACACAACTCTTCTACAAAACAATTATAAGTGTAGCTTGAAAGCTTTAACAAGGCTCATTCTTTTAATCTTTTCAACTCAGCCTCATCCCCTCTCCACCTCTACCAACACCTGTACTATCAAATCACCAGTGCCCTCTATCTTGGCAAATACAAGCCCCATCCTCCTATCACTTGCCCCCTCAGCAGAATGTTTCTGCCCTCACCCTGGATATAACCTTCTTAGCTCCAGATATTCTAGATGTCTTGGGAATGAGGCTGCAGAGCGCTCTTCATTCAGGGCAGCTCCACTCTTTCAGGCTTAATACTAGAGTTCCATGTAAGGTTTGATTTGGAAAGGCTTCAGGTTTTAAAGGGTTTGAAGAAGGGTTTGGGAGAAATCCTCACTGGTCGTGTGTATGCATGCCCAGTCACTTCAGTCATATCTGACTCTTTGCAGTCCCATGGACTGTATCCTGCCAGGCTCCTCTGTCCATGGGATTCTCCAGGCAGGAAAACTGGAGTGGGTTGCCATGCTTTCCTCCAGGGGATCCTCCCAGCCCAGGGATCAAATCTAGGTCTCCTGCACTGCAGGCAGATTCTTTACCGCTGAGCCCCCAGGGAAGCCTCTTCACTGGTCAGCCACCCATAATAGTTTGCTGTGATTCTTCCTCCAGCTCTGAGATTGTCTGTATATCATTTAAGAAAATAGAGATTGTTGACTGTGAAAGTCATAAAGGAGGAAAGTCACTTGGGTGATGAGCATACACTACAAACCCTAGATATGAAAGAAAAGATACAAGAAATGAATGCATATATATGCACATATACATGTACATATACATATATGTACATATACATAGCCACACTGGAAAACAA